ATCCCACAGGGAACTGTCTGTTATGCCTCTCTAAAACATATATTTACATAGAGAACATAACAATATAATTATCATTTAACCATATGCATGGGCAACTCTATGTATCAATAAGTGAAAAATAAGGGACCACTGTGTTTTAGAGATTTTAACAGTGTCATTGCCAATCTATAACCAATGAGAAGCTGAACATTGTACACCTTTTAATTTGCACCACAGAATAAAGCAAAATTTGCCAGCAAATGTAAATCCCACCAAATTGGCATCTTTTTGTAGAATGCTTCTTCCTTGACATGGCATACATGTAAATAAAGTCAGGAATCAAAATTTGTCTCAAACATTAGCCACTATAGTTGATTCTACAGTTGCCCAGAAAACTTCTTTAAATTATCTTGCTAAATATATCTTTAAATTAAAAATATCTTTAAATTATTTTAGATAACATGACTGCATTGAGCTATTTGTTGGCTGAACTAAGGGTATGTGCAATAGCTAACACCTCCTGCTACATTTAGATAAATAAATCTGGTATGACAGAAACTCAGTTTCAGGAAATCAACAAAAAAGCTACCTAGTTAAAACAAGATTTTTGCTTCTGTCTCATTTTTTATATATTTGATATTTATATATCTGATTTTGATTGTTTCAATTTGTAAAGTTCATATACTTTAGTTTCTTAGTTTTATCCTCCTTAGAGCTGTCATAATAGATTCCTTGGTGCACTGTGGTCTCTCAAGTCTCAAATGCTCTGGATGCAGCCATCCACTATATGTCAAATAGTCTGACTAAAGTTAGAACAATGACAACACAAAAGGTACATAAAACATCATTCAACTAACCTGATGTCATAAATTGTGAATTCCATAATGAGACCAAACAAATCCATTCTGATGGTGACAGAGTATGGAATCAATGCCCAAGTTTTCGGTCAATCTTTCAAAACTGAGAGGACATCAAAAGGGTGACTTGTTAAAGCAGCCTACCACTGCTTTTGTATTTCGAATTTCTACATCATGAACTACAACCTAATTTGCTAAGTAAACAAACTGCAACCTAACTTAAGAATATATTTTTGTAACAAACTGCTGAGTCTCAGCCAATTATAGAAGCCAAGCTTCAGCCAATCATTGGAGGCAAACTGGTCAGATAATGTACACATAAGGCAAATGCCTCATCATACCATACCCAAATAATGCAAATGACAAGTTGTCACAAATCAAGCTGGTTTTTTTACCTCAATTCCTTTTTGTGTCTATGAATACAGCCTGCCCACATTGATGAGTGGGGCTCTCTAAACCTCTCCTGGTTCCGAGTGCTGCCTAATTCGTGGATCATTCTTTGTTTAGAAGAGTTTAGAAATAAACTCTTCTAAATTTAATTTGTCTAAAGTTTTTATTTTAAAAATAGTAACTGAATGAATGAATGAACTTCTTCTAAGGATTAATCTGATATCTATATTAGAAAAATAAGTAATATCAAAAGGTATTTTATTTAGTTTGTAGCCTCAGGCAAACATTCAAATATGATGTGTGATGAGGTGCAGAAATAGTGAATGTAGAAATAAAATAAAAAACTAGCTAAAGAGATGATACTTAGAAGTCTTACATGCTTGTCTTGTGGCTTACACCATTACCTCAATCAGGAGAGCTTAATCTCCTTTCCTTTCCTTTCCCATATCTAATTATTCTAAATCTTAGATAGAGAGACTTAAAGCCTATTTATTCCATTAGGTTTTCTCTGTTTACCAGATTCACATTACTCGTTTTCTTTTCTGAACTTTTTCTAATATGTGTTCACACAGTGGAAACAGCATTAGCTTTAAAGAACAACAGGTCTGTGGTAAAACTCAGTCCTGTCAATCACTGTCTCTGTGGCTGTAGGCAATTTTCATAATGTTTCTGACACTCACTGTCTTCATATCTTATAGGATTATTGTCAGGATTAAAATTAATAAAATAGAACATTTAATTCATCTGAACCTTCATTCCTACTGTGCTTAAAATGAAGTCCCTACATATTGGCACTAACTCTTTTTGTCTAAATACTTAAGTTTGCCACTTAACCAAAGTGAGATATTTAATGATGGTCATATAGGTCATGTAGCCTCCATAGCATGGTTTATACTTAATAAGTTCTTGAGTTTATTTGAATTTTTTGAAACTAGTTCATATATGTTTTTATTCTATACTATTTGATTTGAGAAATACTCAGTAATGCCCCAGGCTTGTGGGTGTTTAAAGTGTTGGGGTAATGGAAATAATAATGAGTTAATCCAGCACCAAAATCTTGATATTTTCTTCTGAATTCCTTATATGTCATACTGAATACTGAAATTCTGCACAGTAAGGATTAGTTTTTATCAAGTTCTGAGGAATATGACGTATACTAAACTTGAAGGTTTTTAAGGTTGTTTTTCTGCTAATGGTAAGTGAAAAGTTAACATTTGTTATCAAATAAAAGTGTCCTTTGGTTCTAGCATGTGTTTCTTCATTATTCTGCAGCTACATAACTCAACCAAAACTTTTTAGACATTAAGCCACATGCTTTAGTTGATGATAAAAGTGATTGAATTTTGATAAAAAGTAGAGAGAGTAAAACAATCTACATGTTTCAAAGATTTTATAAATTTAATATTACAATAAAATATTTAGATATGATGCCAAGATTTTGAAGTATCTTATGTAATGCAAAAGGGTAGAAACTATTGTAAAGCACATTTGTATTTTGCTACAAATTATAATTTGTCTTCAGAAACCTGAAGTGTGTGCATTTTTTCTTAGTGACATAATGCATATATTCATTTTCCTGCTATCCTATAACTCACTCAGGCATATGAGGATTAAAGTTCTAGTGAGTTGAAACCACATATTTTACTATATTTTGTCAGATTGCTCTTTGCTAAACATCTACAAGGAAATTTATGAAGGCAGGGTGTCTATAAATCGTATCAATTAACAGATGAACAAGATTTAAAACTGTGATCAATTATAGTCACCTTTATTTACAAATAACAAGCTTTATTATGTTTCATTCTAAGCTAGTTAGTTCCTTTTTAAATCAGAAAATTTAAAAATACATTGTATGGAACAGAATAATATAGTTTGTTATTTAGACTGGTAGAAAAATCATTCAAGTGAAAAATTGCACCATCTTGTTACTGTCATATGATTTCTTGTTAGCTACTAACCTGCATTGCCCTACAGTGAATAAGGTGCTTCTATACCTTTCATGTCACATTTTTCACAAAAGTTCAGCTTTTCCAAAATGTTAAATGGTATTTGTTGAAAGTTTCTAAAAGAATCATGATTGTTTTTAAGAGACAGGGTCTAATTCTGGAGTGCTGTAGCATGATCATAGCTCAATGGTAGCCTCGAATTCCTGGGATCAGGCAATCTTCCCACCTAAGAACCACGAATTTCCGGAGAAGGTTGGCCAATATGAAAACTGTGGCAGAAAGCCTGATGCTTCTTGATGACCTGGGGCCAAGCCATTTCCAAAGTCTAAAACATGCTTAGCAACTAATGACAAAATCCCAACTCAAAATATTGGCAGAGTGCACAGGAAAGATATTACATGAATCTGTACAGAATTCATTAATGATATATTTAAACTACACAACTGTTTTAATAAAAACAGAAAAGTGAAGATGCTATGTAAATATCATTGGTGAATTCCAAAGCAAAAATTTTGGAAACATCAATACTTTTTAATTGAAGTATTGATGTAGAAGGTGAAGGGTTTGAGATTTAGCTTTATAATGCATATTGCATTTTAAAAACAGTCATAAGCCATTCTTAGAAGAATAGGAAGTGTCTGTGATTGTAAGATGCTGCATTATATGCCCAATAGTAAACCAGATAAATATGGACCCTGCTCTTGAACTCGACATATACTAGGAAATATAAATATTAAAAAATTCAGTTACTCTTATTTCAAAAGAGGGAACACTGTTTTAGAAACAAAAAGTAGGGAGGAATACTGGCTTGTTGTGCTGTTCATTAAATCAGCTGCACTACACTATACTCATACGTAAGCTTTTACATACAACCTTGGAAGGAATGTGTATGCATCAGTGGGAAGAGAAGTACTCTCCACTGCTCAGACAAAACATTCAAATCAAACCTGGTCATAAATATGCTGAAAGTCATTGTAGGCAATACATTAAGAGATTTTGGGGAGTCAGAAGATAGCGTCTGCCAAGAAAGACCACAAATTCAGTTTTTAAATGTTGATTATGAAGTAACACAACATATAAGTGAAAATGTCCATGGAAAATCCAGGGAGGGAGAGCATGCCCAAGGATCAGATAAAGGTTGAAAATGTGGATCCATATTTAAACATCATCTGTAAATACATAGATAAAGAACATGTCAGTGATTACAAGAAAAGGGAATAGAAAGAAAATAGAAAGCTTTGTCTAGTTCTTATAAAAATACTATAAAATAAAAAGGAGTTATGTGTACTCCAGCACAATGTTTTCACTCAAGAATCCCTTATCACCTGTTGTGTTTGCACTGAATATGCCATAATTTTAAGATACTTCTACCCTATTCAGCTAATCATCAAAATTAAAACTGGTTGTATACCAGGTTGAAAACATATTATTTCTATTTCATAATAAATGCCATTGCAAGCTATAAAAAACAAATTCTAACATATACTTACCTAGTAAATACACATGAACTACATTTATAGCAAACAAATGCACTCAAATAAATACACCCTAAAACCTACGCTCTGTATTGGTCTGAGTTATGGAAAAGGTGATGTCCCAAAGACTGAAAATAATCTCAGACAAGGCACTACAGACCACTATTGACAGGGACAGGAGGTAGAGAAATTCTAAGCAGAAAAGGGCAGGTCCTTGATGAAGTCCCACCCTCAAGCCACAAAGCCTGAGACCATGGCACTAAGTGAGAACTTATATCTGTGTTTTCCTGCTCAAATGTTGCCTTTTTCAAAACAATGCATAGTCCACTCTGTCCCCCATCCTGTGCCTATAGAAACTCCAGACTCAGCTGGCAGAGCAGAGAAAAGCAGCTGGACGTCAGAGACTACGGCTGGATGTTGGAGAGAAGCAGCTTGACTTCAGAGGGACAGTTTGGCAAGGTAACTTCGGAAAAGAATCTGGCTGGAGATGGCCAGACTTCAGGGAAAGATTACCTTACTGCCCCTTTTCCTTTTCAGTTCCCCTTCCTGCTGACAGCCACTTTCACTAGCAATAAAATCCTCTGCATTTACCGTCCTTCACTTTATTCCTCTGACCTCATTTCTCCTGGACATTGAACAAGAGCTCGGGAGCCATGAGTGTGGATACAAAAGGCTGTCACATTGACCCTTTGCCAAAAATGCAGAGAGTCCACTGAGCTGTTAATGCTTAAGCCATTCGTAGATGGTAGAGCTGAAAGAGCACAGTAACACTCCCTCTGGGACTTCAGGGGTGGTTGGGGCACCCCCCTGATGCTTCTGTGGGGCCTGTGTGCTGTTTGTTCCTGCCAGGACCGAAAAGCGCTTGCCCCAGCTCCTGCACTCTCTCACCTGCATGCTCCCTCCCACAAGGGATGTGAGACAGCAGGTCCAACTGAGCAGAGTTCACCCCTGCCAGTGCCAAGGCAGCCAGCTGGTTCCAGCACTCATACACTCCGGTTTCCACCTTGTTCACTCACGCACTCCCTCCCACAAGGAGTTGAGAGCTGTGGATTGAGTAAATGAGGCAACCTTATTGTGCGTCCCATGAAGGGGTCAGGAAAATATCCTGCTTCACTAATAACAAAAGACTTTTAGCTATATATATTCCAGCAAACCAAGACAAAAACCAAAATTAACAGGTAAAAGCATGATAAAAAGGAATTTCAGTTGGTAAGAAAAACTGTAAAGCCAAGCAAAGTAACTATATCTACTACCGGAATAAGAAAAATGATATAAAAAATAATTTAAGCAAAATTATATATATATACAGTGTCCATATTATATGTTCGAAATTGGTAAGTGAGAGACAGTTGGAAAAAATAAATTAGACAGATCATTTCACGTTACTTCATTATCTGTAAATAGTCTTTCATTCTTATCAGGTAGAGAAAGTAAGGTTCAAAAATCAATCTACCTAAAACGATGTTTTTCCAAATAAAAGAAAAAAACCTCATTTGGCAAAATCTAGGACTAAATGATTGGGCTGGGGAAGAGGGAACGTTAAAATCAGGAAAATAATTCAGTTTAATATTTATCTGATGTTGAATCAGAGAGAAGCTTTTTTAAAATTAAATGCAAATCCATAAGAAAGAAAAAAAAACAGTAGATATGATTGCAGAAATTTTTAAAACTGTGTATCTAAAATAATAAAACATTACATTGAAAGGTAGATGACAATCTGAGGGAGATTTTATAATGTATACAAGGCATATAAAGATAATATATACATTATATAAACATATATTTATTTAAAATACATATTTCATATTAAAGTCTTATAATTGCTTTTTTAAAAGTTGTGGAAGGTGGAGAAAGATGGCCAGAGCCCTCCAGCGATTGCTCCTCCTGCAGGCAAAGCAAATTGAACAACTATCCACACCAGAAAGCACCTTTATAAGAACAAAAAATTAGGTGAGAGATCACAGTACCTGGTTTTAACATCACATCAAGGAAAGAGCTACTGAAGAGGGTAGGAAAAACAGTCTTGAATTGCCAAGATCACCTTCCCTCATCCCCCTTCAGCAACCTCATGACACAGAGAGAATCTGGAGAATCTGTGTCCTTGGAAGAGAGAGAGTGCAGACATTATGGGACTTTGCATTGAAATTCAGTGCTAACTTGTCATAGTGGAAAACAACAGAGGGTAGAATTCAGCCAGTACCCAGAAAGGGAGCACTCAGATCAGCCCTAGCCAGAGGGGAATCATTCCATCCCAGCAGTTGGAACCTGGGTTCTAGCTAGACCCACCACAAAGGGCTAAAGTGCTCTGGGGTTTGAAATAAACTTGAAAGGCAGCATAAGCCATGAGAATTGCAATTCCTGAGCTAGTCCTGCAGCTGTGCTGGGATCAGAACCAGTGGATTTGGGGTGCACGCAACCTAGCGAGACACCAGCTGGGTTGGCCAAGGGAGTGCTTGCATCACCCCTCCCACAACCACAGGCAGCACAGCTCAAAGTTCTGTGAGAGACTCCTACTTGAGGAGAGGAAACGGAAGTTTAAAAAGGACATTGCCTTGCAACCTGGATACCAGCTAAGCCACAGTAGAACAGGGCACCAGGCAGAGCCCTAAGACCTTATTCTGGGTTCTAGCTCCTGGACTTTTCTAGACACATTTTGGGCCAGAAGGGAACTGGCTGCCTTGAGGAGAGGGATCCAGTCCTGGCAGGATTCATCACCTGCTGACTAAAGAGTGCTTTAAGCCTTAAGTAAACATCAGAAGTACCCACGACATATTCAACACAGTTCTTGGGTGAGACCCAGGGCCATGTTGGCTTCAGGTGTAACCCAGCCCATTCTCAGCTGTGGTGGTCACAGACAGACACTTCTTCTGCTTGAGGAAAGTAGAGGGAAGAGTAAAGGGGACTTGTCTTGCAGTTTGGGCACCAGCTCAGCCACAGTGGAGTAGAGAACCAAGCAGGATCCTAGAGTCCCCAGTTCAAGGCCTTGGCTCCTGGGTGAAACTTCTAGACATGTTCTGAGGTAGAAAGGAGCCACTGCCCTGAAGAAAGAGACCCAAGCCTGGCAGCATTTACCACAAGCTGACTGAAGAGAGTTTGGTCTTTGAGTGAACATCAGCAGTAGCCAGGCAGTACTCACTGTGGGCCTTCTACACGAGGAAAGAAGAGGGAAGAGTAAGAAGAACTTTGTCAAGTGTCTTTAGTGCCAGCTTAGCCACAGTAGAATAGAGAACAGAGTAGATTCTTAAGTTGCCTGACTCTAGGGCCTGGCTCCCATATGGCATTTCTGGAACTTCTCCGGGCTGGTGGGGAGCTTGCCAACTTGAAGGGAGGGACACAAGACTGACTATTTACCACCTGCTGACTGAAAAACTCTTGGACCTTGAATGAACACCAATAGTAGCCAGTCAGTGGTCACCACAGGCCTTGGGTGAGACCCAGTGTTGTGCTGGTTTCAGGTCTCAATCAGTGCAGTCCAAGTTATGGTGGACACAGAGGGACTTGGGTCACCTCTCTCCCAACTTGAGGCAGCTCAGCACACAGAGAGAAAGACTCTGTTTGTTTGAGGTAAGTAAGGGAGAAAAAAGTCTCTGCCTGGTAATCCAGGGCATTTTCTTGGATCTTGCCCAAGACCATCAAGACACTGCTTCTACAAGTTTGCAAGAATCACAGTGTTACTGGACTTGGAGTAACCACTAATGCAGATATGACTGCAGTGACAAAGGACTTAGATCACAACACTCATTTCCCTTTGAATACTTGGAAAGCCTTCCCAAGAAGGAGTACAAACAATCCCAGACTGTGAGACTACAATAAATACCCAAACATCGACAAATATTCACAAGCATCAAGACTACCCAGGAAAATGTGACCTCACTAAACAAACTAAATAAGGCACCAGTGACTAATCCCGGAGTGACAGAGAAATGTAATTTTTCAGACAGAGAATTTAAAAATAGCTGTTTTGAGGAAGCTCAATGAAATTAAAAATAACATAGAGAAGGAATTCAGAATTCTATCAAATAAATTTAACAAAAAGATTGAGATAATTTAAAAATATGAAGCAGAATTTCTGGAGCTGAAACACTGAATTGACAAACTCAAGACTGCATCAGAATCTCTCAACAGCAGATTGGATAAAGTGGAAGAAAGCATTAAGGACAGGCCATTTGAAAATACATAGTCAGAGGAGACAAAAGAAAAAATAATGAAAAGAAATAAAACATGCCAACAAAATCTAGGAAATAGCCTCAAAATGGCAAATCTAAGAGTTACTAGCCATAAAGAGGAGGTAGAAAGAGAGGTTGGGGCAGAAAGTTTATTAAAATAGATAATAACAAAGAACTTTCAAAACCTAGAGAAAGATATCAGTATTTCCAAACTCACTCTATGAGGCCAGTATTACCTTGTTATCAAAGTCAGACAAAGACGCGTGAAAAAAAAAGAAAATTACAAGATAATATCTCTGACGAACATTGATGAAAATGTCCTCAAAGAAATACTAGCGAACTAAATTCAACAACATGTTAGAAAGATCATCCTTATGATCAAATGGGATATATCCCACATATGGTCCAACCAGCATATGCAAATCAATGAATGTGATACATCATATCAACAAAATGAAGGGTAAACCCACATGATCATTTTAATTGATGTTGAAAAAACATTCCATAAAATTCAACATCCTTTATGATAAAAACCCTCACAAAACGGGGTGTTAAAAAAACCATAACTGAACACAATAAAAGCCATACACAACAGACTAACAGCTAGTAGCATTCTCAACAGGGAAAACTGAAAGCCTTTCCTCTAAGAACAAGACAAGGATGTCAGTTTTCACCATTATTAGGCAACATAGTACTGGAAGTCCTAGCTGGAGCAATCAGACAATAATACAAATATAGGGCATCCAAATTGCAAAGGAGAAGTTAAATTATCCTTGTTTTCAGATGATATGATCTTATATTTGAAAAAACCTAAGTTCCAACAAACAAACCGTTAGAGCATACAAAAATCAGTAGCATTTCTATATGCCAACAACAAACAACCTAAAAAGAAATGAAGAAAGTAATCCTAATTAAAATAGCTACAAAGAAAATAAGATACCCAGGAATAAACTTAACCAAAATGTGGTTACAATGAAAACTGTAAAACATTGATACAAGAAATTGAAAAGGACACACAATAAAAGGAAAAATATTCCATATTTGTGGATTGGAAGAATCAATATTGTTAAAATAATTTTACTATTCCAAGCAATCTACAGATCAATACAACCCCAATCAAAATACCAATGACATTCTTCACAGAAATAGAGCATACAATTCTAAAATATATATGGAATGACAAAAGACCCAGAATATCCATAGCCATACTCAGTAAGAAGAATAAAACTGGAAGAATCAAATTACCTCACTTGAAATTACATTATAGAGCTATTATAACCAAAACAGCATGGT